ATGGAGGGATGGGTGGATGGATGGGTGGATGGGTGAGGAAATGGATGGAGGTATGGAGAAATGGATGGTGGATGGGTGGATGGGTGGATGGGGGAATGGATGGAGGATGGGTGGGTAGGTGGGTGGATGGATGGAGGATGAATGGACGGATGGATGGAGGATGGATGGATGGATGGACGGATGGATGGGTGGGTGGATGGGTGGATGGATGGGCAGATGGAGGAGTTGATGGATGGAAGGATGGATGGAGAAATGGATGAAGGGATGGATGGGTGGAGAAACACATGGCTGGATGGAGAAATTGGAGGATGGGTGGATCGACGCATCGCCAAAAAGATGGACGGGTGGACAGAAGGATGGATGGACGGATGGACGGACAGACGGATGATGGGGATCCTCCCAGGACATCCCCGGAGGTGACTCCCCCACGTCCCCATCCCCAGGAAGACGCTGCAGGTGAAGATTGTGGACGATGAGGAGTACGAGAAGAGGGACAACTTCTTCATCGAGCTGGGGCCGCCGCGCTGGCTGAAACGCGGCATCTCGGGTAGGGGGCGAGGGGACAGGGGGGGACATGGGGGGGACATGGGGGGGACATGGGGGGGGGATGTGGGAGGGACACGCGGCTTCTCACCACCTCCTCTCCCCTCTGCAGCCCTTCTGCTGAACCAAGGTAGGAGCCCTTCCTCCCTCCTCCTCCTCCTCCTCCTATGGATGAGGCCCATAGGAGGGCGGGTGCCGTGTGCTGCATCGCCAGCGTGTCCGATGTCACCTCCACGTCCGATGTCACCCCCACGTCCGATGTCACCCCGTCTGGTGCCACCTGTCCCCACATGTCCCTGCGCCACCTGCTGTGTGTTTGCTCTGCCCCATGCCTCTGCCACATCCCCACATCCCAATGCCACCTCTCCCGTGCCGTGTCCCCACATCCCAATGCCACCTCTCCCGTGCCGTGTCCCCACATCCCAATGCCACCCCCCCCCCCGTGCCGTGTCCCCACGTCCCCCACCACACCCCACAGCCGAGGAGGACCGCGTGCTGTCGGCGGAGGAGGAGGAGGCGCGGCGCATTGCCGAGATGGGGAAACCCATCCTGGGGGAGAACTGCCGCCTGGAGGTCGTCATCGAGGAGAGCTACGACTT